AAAAAAAAAAAAAAAGAGAGAGTATTATCAAGTAAATGCTCATAACAAGGGATAAAAATACACCTTTCCGAGGCATGTCATCATAATACTTCAGAACACTGGAAACAGAAAAATTCGTACAAGCTTCCAGAAAGAAAAACAGGTTACACAGAAAGGAATGGGTATCAGAACGGCTTTGTACTTCCAAATGGAACTTTAATAGCAGTGTGGAAATGACTTCAAAATTCTGAAGGAAAATTATTTTCAACCTAGATTTTTATAGCCAGCCAAACTACTCATCAAATATCAGGACAGAATAGACATTTTCAGCTATACAAACTCTCAAAACAATTGATCTTCCATGCAGCCCTTCTCAGAATGCTGTTGGAAAAACTGCCCCAACAAACAAAGAGGGAGATTCTGGACTAAAAAAAGACATGATCCAACACAGAAAAGCAGGGAAAGGAATGGTGAAGAATGACCCTAGGGTAACAGCTCTGCACCAGCAGAAGGAAAGCTGGTTCATTCTGGTACAGCAGGATGCCTCGGCAGGCCTTAGGAGGGCAAAACTGATGGAATATATAACATATGTTTTAGACAACTTTGTTTCTCCCCTATATTCTGTATCTGCTATTCCTACCTCTACAGTTTCTATAGAATAATTTTACTCAAAAGCCATTTCTTTTCTGCTTGCTGCACCCTAGGTGTACCTGTATGACTGACACTTTTACTAAAAGTGAAGAAAAAAACTTCAGTCAATTCTCAGTCAAGAGAGAAAAATAACGTAAGTAGTAAGAATAACACCTAAATTATTAATATTTGGCTCTGAAATCTATCGTATGCAGACACGTCCTCCAGGAATGTTTCACTCAGGATGTCGTGACTATTTGTATTTCTTAGTCACCGTGCTGGTTATCAACATATTGCCTCTCAGCTCCAAGTCCACCCTTTTTTCATGCTCTGTGAAAACGGCTCTGAGCCTTTCCAACAGTTTTTCTGCGTTAACTGGTATGATGTTAAGCTTTCTCAGTGGAGGGTGCTGGAAAGACACTGCAGGAGGAGAGAGTTTTGCTGCCGGGCTCTGGTTCTGCAGCTGGATAGGCTCCCGCAGTGCACAGCTGCCAGCAGCACCCTGCAGCTTTCCCTGGAACTCCCAGAGGCAGTTTTGCAGTCAACTGTTTCTGGGGAGACACCTCCCTGTGAACAGCTTTCCCAGACACCTTAAAGGACAGATTTCTGGCAGGTTCCAGAGGGCTGATTTCAAGCAAATTCCACCAGTGGGGCTTCTCTGCCATGAGGTGAGCTGTGGCTGTGTGCCGTCCAATAAAGCCTGGATCTCAGCCCTGGGTACACCAGCTACTCCTTTAATTTTTAGAGTTTACTTCTTAGTAGCCAATCCCTTATTACTCTAATCTCTTGCTGCAGTTAAAAATTCTTTAAACTGTCCTTGTTCAAATTACTATGTGGTTTCTTTCTCCTGACTAGATACAGACAGAGTCTTGCACCTATTTAAAGGCGTTCAGATACAGGGGCACCACCTAGAATTCAAGTTGTTCAAACAGGAGCTGGCTGTGCCTGCCCATGGGCTGTGGACAGTGCAGGACGAGGGGGACCAAGCTGATGGGGAAAGGGGTTACAAAGAGACCGTGCAGTGTGTCCCCTTTTTATTTTTCAACCATGCGACTGGATTTTTTTTTAAAAGATGACTATACAGTCATCTCTTGGTATCCTCGAGGGACTGATTCCAGGACCCACACGGATACCAAAGTCTGCAGATGCGCAAGTCCAACAGTCCGCCTCCCGTATCCTCACCCACAGACTCAACCAACCACAGATCGTGTATAGTTGACCCTTGAAAAACATGGATTTGAACTGTATGGGTCCACTTATACGTGGATTTTTTTTCCAGTTAATCTGTGTATAAGTAAACCCATGCAATATTGAAAAAAATCCGTGCATA